AAAACAGATAGGCGTATTATTCTGTTAGCTCGATTATACCGCTATACTTGACCGTGAGAAAATTGTAGATACGAAAAATGAAATACACGCGTCTCTTCTTTCCCGAGACGCGTCATCGATGCAGGTCTTAGGGGTTTAGTGGACGAAAAATGATCGCACGTGTCGGAAGGTCGGAATTGAAATTAGCCAAGGCAAGAAGAAAACGATTCAACGGGTGGACTCACTTTCTTATCGTCTCTCTGCCCACCGCGTGGATTTAACAACCTTCCTCACTGACAGATTCATTACTTCATTACTTCAACATCATTTCCTGTGCAATCCTCGGAGAATATTACTACCAGCTACTTTTGTCGTCTTGAATAATCTCGGCGAGGGTAAAAGGTCGGACAGGAGCCTGTCGACCTGCGAGGATGGCTAATAATCGGGAATCGTGAATGAACGTTGCATGGAAATATTCGGAATAATACGCGATACCGTGTTACGTAAGTTTCGTTCGAACGATTGGAAACAAACGTCGAAAGCGACCCAAATTTCCGCGTGAAGTCATTCACAAATATCGTACTGTTTATTCTAGTCGTAGCAGCGAAGATAAATCTATCCAATATGTCGAATACGCGGTATTTAATAATTGTTTGATATAATATCTTTGTTTCTCTTTTTTTCGCGCAGATATCGTCCATCGTATATTTGCACATTCTGCTTAAATCCGAGAAAAACGAGAAGAAAAGATAGAAGGAAAAATAGAATCAAATACTCCAAAATTAATACCCTATTTCGGCAATACATTTGCGAGAGAATTTTTAAATTTCCGAGATAATATAGCTATTTTTGTCGAAATTAATCTTGACAATAATAATAATAATAATAATAATAATAATAATAATAATAATAATAATAATATAATAATCAGACAGGAACGTGATTATACATAACCAATTTATCTTCGTCGTACCGCTACGTTTACGTATAATATACTTAGCTAATCGCAAAGGTCGGCAGTTCTAATGTTGAGCCATTGTGTTCTAACCTATAACCCGATAATACCATAAACCGTTAACGAATTTACTTATTGTATAGACAATGGGGTCGGTCTCCTCGGGTTCTTCTAATACAACGACGAAAATGTGCACGCGATAAACGAATAATATTCTACTCGAATAAATTAACACGACCTCGGAAGAATATTTCAATCTCGAAGACCGCGTTCGCTACTGTCACAGAGAATCAAGGGCTTTATTATAAAAGACAAGGTCTGACATATAATTATTAATATAAATTTCTCACCGACCTAATCACTCGCTGACTCACTATTATTCTCACGCGCGTGACGCCTTCATTCATCGCGAAAGAACTCTCGAACTTCTCTATCGGGCGACGGTTTTATCTGGCCGAATTGCGATTTCGTCGAATCCGACATACGTACGACCCCATTCCCCGAATCGATCCTAATTGGCGAACAATTCGCGTCGCCGGCGATTTTAACTGAAACGTGTCGGTATGCAACCAAGATGCCACTTTTCCTCCCGCCACGGCGCCTCTTTCACTTCCTCCCCCGTGCGTTACGTAAAGGCCCACTTAAGTTCCAGCTAATCTCCAGCAGACGGACTAACCGTGAATAATTATGTAAGTGATGATCCCATTAGGCGTGAAATAGGTCCTATCCTATTTTCGACCGAGTCCCGGCGGCGCCCGCCATCGCTGGCGAAGCCGTATCAACCCTCCTGGTCCTCTTCAAATTCTTAAGTGCTACCGCGGTGGTTGTGGTAACGTCTATCAGTGGCGCGAGGATTATTCGTACCTTCGCGAGTCTCGAGAATTTGATAAAAGAGGGACGAGGAATCGAGGAGTAAACGGACGAAAGAAAAGAGAATTTTCAGATTACGGTTGATCATTCAAAGATGGCGCGTGGTTGCTAATTTCTTTCCACGTGGTCGACGTTTCGCGTAACGTAGATTGCCAGTATGAATCGAGATTAAATTTGGAGGATTTCTATGAACAAAGTCAAATATCGCGAAGGTTTGCAAGGTTAGCAGAATAGGGGTGGTTTTTACTCTCCTCTAATGTGGGTACATCGAAGATGGATCGTACCATTCTGTCTGCACCTCCAGTTGGGTGACACCCTCTATACGAAGTAATATCTATAGCCTAATTGTTTTAAGCTCCACTGCGAAAAGGAACACGATTTCTTCGTCTTCCAACCGCGTAAACGTCCTCGCGAGCTCCATCTCGATGGTCTCACACCGAGTGGTCTTCGCCCAAGGAACTGTCAATTGTGGCAATTGGGCTCATAACGAGACCACCGATTCCTCGTCGAAGGAACTCTTTGATCCCTCTGCTAATTATCAGTGGCAGAGGATAATAAGCGGGACGATAAATTTCTATCATAACCCGTTGATATTATCCCGGCGGTTTCGTAACAACCACTGACCTCAATAGTCTCCTTTAATCTCCCGATGCTGTTTTAAGAGATCGTAAATAATGCCCCACGTTTGCCCTACCTAATTCCTCATCCGCGCGTTTTTACGTCGACCTCCTGCAACCCCTTTTTTCCTCTCGTTCTCTCCCTTGCTCTCCCTCTTCCTCTCGCGTGTGCGCGCGTGAAAGACGAGGATCGACAGCGGCGTCTGCTCGACCTTAAACGCAACGCAGTCGCGTTTTGATCGCTTTAATTTTAATGGACCATAATCCGCCATCTCGAGAGTCATTCCAGCGGCCGTTTCAGATCCATTAAGTGCACTTTCCAATTGAACTTTTAAACCCACACCCACCGCTCAGTCTGTTTAGACACGCATCAGGGTTTGTGCAGTTAGTTTATTGGATTATTGCGCGCGCACGTTCGCGTGCGCGCGCGAGCTCATCGTTACCGCGAACCATTTTGCGAATTAAAGCGATGCGATGGACAGTGTTGGAGGTTACGTTGCAACCAGCTCTTTTTTTCTGCCTTTGTTCCTATGTTCCCTTTGCCCGTTGATTGGAATGATTGAATGCTCTCGTACTGCGATGGAATGATCGATATTTCGAGGACGATTGACGCTGTTGAAGATTCATACCGTGGGCTGTTTCCATTCGGAAAACGTAAGGGAGAAGCATACCTGGTTCCCATTTATTTTCTCGGTCTCGCATCGTTTAGCAACCCACGAGAATTAGCCGGAAAATACGGGTTTATAATTTATCGGGTTTTTCTCTGTTCGTGATGCACGACAGCTGACACGGTCTACAAATCGTTGGAAATTATATTTGCTCGGGAATGGCTCGAAATAATTAGAGAACCACCCAGAAAACGTGTTTGTTATTACTCTTACGCGATGTTGGTATTATCAGCGAGATTTACACTTAAACGAACATCGGGCCGATAAATCGTTCGGGATAACTCGATCGTGGATGTCGGTAAGAGAGAAAAGCAGGGAAGGTGTGGTTGTCGCGAGACCGACAATGATTGATTTTTATCGCGTCGGTTAATTGGAAAATTACAGATTGCCAGTGCTCGTTGGATCGACGAGAATTACGCGACGACCGCGAAAGTTACAGCCGAGGGGATGTTTCAGCCAATCTGTATGCAGATTGCCGACCCTTTCGGAAATTGGTTCATTACAAAATTGGAAATTTCTTCATTACATAGCGGATCGAGCGTGTCGGTCGTCGCGAGCGGCTGTCCGTGCGCTGTAATTTCAACAGCCGCCCCTAATGATACCCTTTCTTCGCGAACCACCGGCTTCGGCAACCACCAGTGCCTTTCTACACATTTCGCCAAATTTTCGCATTCGCTGATAAATTCTTGCAAAATCGTCCGTGACACATCGCCGAATTATTTATAGAATTTGCGCCATATCGATATTTTCGGATAATCATTCTCCCGGATCTCTAATCTCGAGACATTAGAGAAATCGACTGATAGCCGCGTTATATTTAGAGCAAATTGCTCGTTTCTTAGATACGAGCCACTCGACTGCAACAATATCGCGACACACGTGTCTGTACAACAATTGAACTGCTGGATAAACAGATCCACGAATTGGGACGTCTTCGTTCTCTCAGACCTCGACAACCATCAGTCTTCCAACCCTTCGAAAAGTCGGTTCACGCGGATTCTCGGCGTGATGAATTTCCCCGCCCAGTATCTCCTCATTTTGCAGCGGATGGCCTAGGAGAAAATTAGTTACTCCGATTCGCAGCATCCGAAAGGGTACCGCCTGCGAGGGCAGGCAAAAAGCGAGCGTTTCGCGTGGAAATCACGATTCCGGCGATAATGCGTGCAAACGAGGTCGCGCGACGCTATCAGAAGGCGGAAACGCGAATTTTTACGCGCGAACTGCGCTCGCTCGCTCGTTCGCCAGCGAGGAAACGCCGGTGTCGTGGCACGCGTTCGGCTGGCAGGCAACGGCACGGAAAAGAAAGAATGGGAAGAGAACGCGGTGTGCCACCTCGGAACAAGGCGGCCATTCACATCGAGCCGCTCGTAATTAACGTCAGCTGCTATAGGCAGCCTCTGAGTACTTCCACTTACGCGCCTCGGCGCCGCGGCTCACTTCGCGTCGGCGTATTTACACGCCTGTAAACACGACCCCCTTTTTTTCTCCTCCATAGCTCACTATAGCTGGCCGTTTCGCGGTTTTATTCGATCGTGACGACAGCTTCGATCCATGAGATCATCTCGAGCTCGGCGCGATCCAGCAGCAGAGAGGGGGTTGCAAGAGGTTCGAAGTCCGTTTATAGGCTGCGTGAGGCCGATTGCTCGAAGGCGTCGAGGGTTAATGATTCGTTGATTATTCCGCAGCTATTTTGCGGTTTCAAGCGTGGAAAGCAACCCCCTCGAATCGAGCGCGCTGACTTTTTCTCTGAGAAAAACACGTCCGATCTGTTTGTTAACCTTTTCACCGTAACGATCGTGCATTTAGGTTCGGTTAAAGCTATTTGCGTGGACCGATACCGACGATTATCATTTTGGAAAAATACGCATCGATTGGTGCATCAACCGCGCTTACGTTCGTGTAATTTTGCAGGCCGAACGTGTGCAGGTCAAGATACAAGAATTACTGCTGCCCCGGCTGGACGAAGAAGCCCGAGACCGGTCTCTGCGTAATTCGTAAGTACGGAGGCCCGTATCTCGAATCGAGGCCCGATCGTAATCGAAATCGCGAGCTTCCTTGTCCCGTAATTGTACGTGATCTCACGGGCTCGAGTACATTCAATTTTAGCGTTGATTATCGAAATGCCCGAGCGGAAAGGAGCATCGCGACCACAGAGAGGCGCGCGCGCGTTCGCAACGAATAATTGCATCGTTGCGCAACCGAGTGTTCATACGACACGAACGATCGACTTCTCCAACGAAATTGCTTTAATGGCCTGTTACACGCTTCCTGTTGATCGCATTGTCTCTACGGTGCTCGCGACGCGACTGCGCCGATGCGATACCCGATTTTACCCTTCGAGTCCCGCGTGTATAGTATAAAGCGATATTAACTCCGCTAACTTTTGGAGTTTTCAAAAATTTCCATCACACGCACGCTTTGCCTAGCGGGATAATTCTCACGGGTGCGAAGAGAAAATTAGAATAGGTGGAAAATCGTGGACATTCTTTCTAGCTGTATGTACTAGACGATGCGGCCCACTGGGCAGATGCATCAGGCCCAATATTTGCTTGTGCGAGGGTGGCACCGTGGCCTCGTCTTGCAGCAGCAGTCAAACCAAAGGTGAAGGCAGACTTCTCGTATTATTAGCTTCTCGAAAATGTTCGATGCTTCTAAAATTTAATATCCCCTTTAGTAACCTCCGCGCATGAAACTGGCAACGCGTTAGACAGGGGTGAGTCCGGCAGATGCAGGGTGCACTGCATAAACGGTAACTGCGTGGATGGCAAATGCCAGTGTCGTGGCGGATATCAGGGTGAATTCTGTAACGAACGTGAGTTGCCAAAAATTGATATACTTGACCCTGCTGTATTTCTCGCTCGAGTAATAACGATGCAAAAATTAATTCGATAATTATAATATATTCCTAAGTTGTAAGATGTATTATTAGAAAATTGAAACGAACGAAATAAAACGTAGCGTTTATGGTAACGCAATAGTCATTTCGAGACACGTTGACCAGAGTGGGGACAGCAGGGTTAATTGCTTAGAACGGCCCACGTCAAACGCGATCCGTGACTTCATCGTCTATTTAAAACAGCAATCTGTCGAGAGCCATGCTTGAACCAGGGAAGATGCATAGGTCCGGATCGGTGTGCATGTATCTACGGGTACACTGGCAGACGATGCGAAACGGATTACAGGTACGCAGTCACACTTAACCCCGATACCTCTATCGGCTCGAGAGGCATTCCTCCGTGAGCGTTATCTTTTCCAGAACCGGGCCGTGTTACACGAAAGTGAAAAATGGCCAATGCCTGGCGAATCTTCAGGGTGTCGTCTGCACCCGACAGTTGTGCTGCGCCACCGTGGGCAAGGGTTGGGGCCACCCCTGCGAAAGGTGTCCAGCCAGACTCGACTGCGAGTTAGGACACTTGAAAACTAACCAGGGCCAATGCGTTGGTAAGACACGATTAACCTTTGGCCTTTTGCGAATTCTTTTATTTCACGAATCAAAGAGTCCAACCTCTACAGCGAGAAATTTTTTCGAATAGAAGGCTTCGCGTTTCAGAAAGAGAAAAGATATTTCGAGGACGTAAAGGAAAAATTAGAAATACACGTGGATATATTTATTAATACAGTAACCCTCGCATTTTCGTCTTTATTGGTAAAATTCAACGTTGATAAATTTGGAACTAAGTCAGGCATTATTTCTCACTCTTACCCATCAGACATCAACGAGTGCGAAGCGATACCGGGTCTATGCGAGGGTGGAAAATGCGTGAACACACCGGGGTCGTTCACCTGCGAGTGTCCCGATGGCCAAGCCAGAGATCCCGAGACGAACGCTTGCAAGGATAGAGACGAATGTCAAGAAGAGGGAATCTGCGCAGACGGACGCTGCGTGAACACGAACGGCGGCTACTACTGTCTCTGTAACCCGAGATTCATTCAAAGCCAAGATCGAAGATTCTGTATCGGTAGGGCCCTAAGTAGCCACAAATCGAACCTAAACCTCAGATCTGTCCATTTATCTAAGTATGTTCGTTGACGAAATCGCAGATGGAAGGCAAGGTCTGTGTTACACGTCGGTGAACAGGAACGGCCAGTGCAAAAATCGGCTGGCAATGAGACTGAGCAAGAAAGATTGCTGCTGCGGCAAGAACATGGGACGAGGCTGGGGTGACGAGTGCTTCATCTGCCCGAATCCCGGAAGTGGTATGTAGAACGGCAAAAATGCGGAATGATACCAAAACATCAGGCTTGCACGACAAATAATGACGCTAAAGTAGAACGAACGAAAATAAAGTCAGCGAGGAAAGATAATGCTCATAGTAACGGCGAGTAACGGGACCCGTGTTATTACTCAATTATAGACGATTACAACAGGCTTTGCTTGCAACAACTGCAGCCGATCATCGCGATAAACGAGTGCGCGCTGCGGCCGGACATTTGCGGAAACGGGAAGTGCATAGACACGAAGGACGGCTACGAGTGCGACTGTTATGCCGGGTTCACGAAGAAAGCTGGCAGATGCGAGGACATCGACGAGTGTCTATTGGGCTACTGCCAGGGTGGTACCTGCCAAAATTACGAGGGCTCCTTCACGTGTCATTGTCCGCCTGGATTCGTCGTTTCTGGCGAAGGAAGATACTGTACAGGTACAGAATGAAAAAGGGAAAGAATTGTTTATATATAAACGGAACTGAAAATAATAATACGAAAATCGGATATTTGCGATAATTCGCAGAAATTTTAAGGTTGTCGAATAAATTTCTTTACGTAACTCTCTGTCGTTGCTACGTAGATCACGACGAATGTCAAGATACGGGGATGTGCAATAACGGACACTGCATCAACATGAACGGGTCCTTCAAGTGCAAGTGCAACGATGGTTACACTTTGTCACCCACGAGAAATACTTGCATCGGTAAAGAAAAATTCGTCTTCTATTTTCTACGAAAAAATCTTTCATCGATAAGCTCGTTAGATACGAATAATCTATCGTTTGTTCGCAGATATCAACGAATGTACCGACAATCCGAGAATCTGTTTGAACGGTAGATGCGAGAACACTCCAGGATCTTATCACTGTATTTGTCAATCTGGTTTCACTGCCTCGAGAGATAACACGTTCTGCGTGGACATGGACGAGTGTTCCACGAGTGGGATGTGCGAAAATGGGAAATGCGTGAACATGGAGGGCTCGTTTAAATGCGTCTGCGACTCTGGCTTCCGACTTGGACCAGACCAGAGTCACTGCATCGGTATGTCATTGCTGCTCGTATTTCCTGAATTTTCAATATCGAGGAAACCAATCTTTATCTTTGATCAGACATCGACGAATGCTCGAGCGCACCGTGTCAAAATGGCCGCTGCACCAACACTCCTGGCAGCTTCCGGTGCGAGTGTCATCACGGATTCAATCTGGGACCGGATGGAAGATCTTGTTTAGGTTGGACACCTATTCTTAAACTGGACTTTTTCCTTTTTTTTACTAAATCGACGATTCTATTAACAATTCTATTAATCTATGCAAAAATATTCTAATCGTTATCAGATACGAGAAGGGACCTGTGCTACTCCCAGTACAGAGACGGCCAGTGCTCGAACCCTACGTCAACTGCGGTAACAAAGTCGAGTTGTTGCTGCTGTACTGTGATATTTGGTCAACCTATGGGCTGGGGAAGTACCTGTCAACCCTGTCCGCTCCCTAATACCAGCGAATTCGAAGCTTTATGCCCACATGGCGCAGGGATGACTTACAACGGAGATGGTAACGACAATAATTTGCAGTAACAATGTCTTCGTCGTTCAGAAAGATTCCTCTCGAGCAGTTTTTCACCTGGATAAGCGATTTATCCTGTTTCTCGTTCAATCAGACATCAACGAGTGCGCGCAGAACCCAAACATTTGCGTGAACGGTGGTTGCGAAAACCTCATGGGGACCTATCGCTGCATCTGCGACAGCGGTTACGAAGTAGACGCCACGGGGAAGGTGTGCAGCGACATAAACGAATGCGAACTGGAGGAGTCGCTGTGCAGCGGTGGTCAGTGTCGGAACACTCCTGGAAGCTTCCAGGCAAGTAAACACTCGCGAGTCGAATTGACGTCTAATTAGACCCGGCAACTCCCCGGAAGATTTACACCGACCAATTGAGACGTTTAAACGCGATGTTTGCACAGTGCATTTGCCCGAGTGGTACGCGATTCAACACGGGGAATCACATGTGCGAGGACATCGACGAGTGCGAGGAACTCGGGCCAGATGTCTGTTTGAATGGGATCTGCATAAACACCCCTAGTTCCTACGAGTGCGAGTGCTCCCCTGGATACATTCTGGACCACACTGGTCACATCTGCATGGGTATAAATAATCAAATTAAACGTATAGAGGTTTACGAGATTCTAATCGAAGATTCCATCTAACGCGAACGAATGTACGATTAAAATTTCTCTCAGACAACAGGAGAGGTTCCTGCTGGACCAAGATGATAGACGGTCGATGCGAGTACAATCTACCTAGACTGGCCCTCAAGTCCGAGTGCTGTTGCTCGGTGGGTGTCGCCTGGGGAAGTCCCTGCGAGCTCTGCGACCAATCCATCTGCGAGTGTTCCAAGGGATACGCGAAATTTGGCGGCAAAGAGTGCGTGGACGTGAACGAATGCGAATTGAACAGTGGTATTTGCAAAGGTGGTGGCACTTGCGTCAACACCGACGGATCATACCGCTGCGAGTGTCCACCTGGCTTGTCCTTGGACGCAACGCGTGAGTTTTGCAAGATTGAATTATACTTTCACGATTTTATATTAAAAAATGATCGTTTTTAATCGATGATCCGTGCCCCGTTCAGACACCACGTGCATAGACACAAGACAGGAGACCTGTTATCTGGATTATCGCCATGGTCAGTGTGCGAATCCTATAGAGGGACAGTTTTCGAAGAGTCTGTGTTGCTGTTCCGTTGGTCGGGCTTGGGGTACCGACAAATGCGAATCCTGCCCGAAACCAGGCACCCACGCGCACCAGGAATTGTGTCCGAGAGGAGACGGGTTCACGGATAAGCAGGACATCAACGAGTGCGTCGAGTTCCCGGCGATGTGTTTAAATGGCAGATGCAAGAACACGGTTGGCAGTTTCAGCTGCAAGTGCAATCAGGGCTTTGCGCTGGACGAGCATGGGATCAAGTGCAATGGTGAGTCTTTGAGTATCGATAATGGCAAGTCTGAGAGTCCTTGTAAGATTAAACGTCGTTAGAAAATTGGGATTTAGTCGAGTTTGAAATTTGAAACGTTGATTGTTTAAAATAAACTGTCAGTGTTAAGAAAATCTTCAACCTTTCACGGAATATTTAATGCTCGAATTTGGAAGTTGTTCGGGGTTCTAAATCGCCGTCCTGCTTGCACAGACATCGACGAATGCGAGATCATGCGTGGAGTGTGCGGAAACGGAACCTGCAGGAACACGCCTGGCAATTTCCAGTGTGACTGCAACCCTGGATATCGTAGCAGTGACATAATGAAAATTTGCATGGGTACGTAACGATGCATTAAACTCCGATGCAAACCAAACACCTAGTACGGAATGTAGTTTTAACAGAATTTCTTACGGGATAAAAGTTCGAGACAACCAGAAACAGTGGACGCGTCGAACGTGTATAACCGATAAACGACACCCAACGATTCCCAAACGTGATAAATTTCAGACATAAACGAGTGCGAGGAGACACCTGGATTATGTCGAGGAGGAACCTGCACCAACACCGAGGGCAGCTTCAAGTGTCAATGCCCGCCCGGTCACGAGCTAGGTCCTGACAAGCAGTCCTGCAAGGATATCGACGAGTGCTCGAGAACGAGCGGGATCTGCTCGAACGGTGTCTGCGAGAACATGATGGGCACTTATCAGTGCATATGCGACGATGGTTATCAGCAAACTGGCTTGAAGTCTCACTGCGAGGATATAAACGAGTGTGCGACCAACAACGGTGGCTGCGAGGACATCTGCCTCAACACGCCTGGCAGTTTTTCTTGCTCCTGCAGGTTGAAATTTTTTCCAAACGCTCTAATAACGTCAGCCATAATTGGTCCATGTCACGGAGCTAAAATATCGGAGGTTAATCGACGCGTTTAAAGCTTAATCGCCGAGTTCTAACGAATGGATTATCTGCTTCCTTAATAGCACTGGGTTCGCGTTGAATCTCGATGGTCGATCATGCGTGGACGTGGACGAATGCAAGGAGAATCCTCGAATTTGCAACGGGGGGAAATGCAGCAATATAGCTGGCGGTTATGTATGCAGTTGCACCGATGGCTTGGCACCTGGCAGGGATGGCGCGTCTTGCATAGGTAAGTAGACTCACTCGGACTAACGAGACGAGTCAGAGAATGTGATCGAACGTTCGCGAGAAACTCGCGTGACAGGAGACCCCTAGATTCCCCAAGTCTCCGACACTTAACATCCCAGACGCCTAATCTCTTCAGATATCGACGAGTGCACCACGCAGCCTCACATTTGCGGCTACGGTGAATGTTACAACACCATTGGGTCCTACAACTGTCGCTGCGAGGAAGGATACTCGGTGAAACCGGAACAGGGTCCAGGGTGCACCGACGACGACGAATGTCTGTTAAACGCTTATTCCTGCAGCGAATTCGCGGAGTGTCAGAATACTCAGGGGTCGTACGAGTGCTCCTGTCACGAAGGCTTCGTCGGGAATGGAGTCGAATGCAGGGACATCAACGAGTGCCTGACGAACAACGGAGGCTGCGACTCTAATGCACAGTGCATCAACACCGAAGGATCTTTCAAGGTAAAGATCGCGAAAATTTTGACGACATCCTTTCTGGTATCGCTTCGTCGAGGAGGGAATGAAGAGAAAAGATTCTCGATTGTTCCAGTGTGTTTGCGACGCTGGCTTCAGAGGCGATGGCTACGCCTGCAAAGACATCGACGAATGCGCCAATGACAATACCCTCTGCGAGAATGGACACTGCCTCAATTACCCTGGATCCTTTCGCTGCGAATGCGAGATGGGTTTTATGCATCCTGACGAGAACAACGAGCAGACCTGCGTGGATATAAACGAATGCGAGATGTTCAGTAACCTCTGCGTATTCGGTCGGTGCGAGAACATATTCGGCATGTTCCGTTGCGAGTGCAACGAGGGCTACAAGTTGGACGGCTCTGGTGGCAATTGCACTGACATCGACGAGTGCGAGAATCCGCAATCGTGTCAGTATGGCACGTGCATAAATACTCAGGGAAAATACACCTGCCAGTGTCCGCCATATTACGAGCTAGTCGAAGCTGGAAACGCCTGTGTCGGTAAGATGTCTATCTTTCATACTTGAAGCAGAGTTTTTCATACTTCCAATATTCGAACGCTTCTTTTTCTCGCGTTACAGACAGACGAGAATCGTTCTGTTTCACTGGCTTCGAACGTGGTACCGGAAAGCCTCAGTGCATCTTCGACCTGTCCTCTGCGGTTACCAAAGCCACGTGTTGCTGCAGCATTGGCAATGCTTGGGGCAATCGTTGCGAGGAGTGTCCTCAAGTTGGCACCAAAGAGTTCGTGGAATTATGTCCCGGTGGCCATGGGTACAGACCTAATCTGGACACTGTCATATTGGAAGACATCAACGAGTGCGATGAACACGAGAACATTTGTCAGAACGGCCACTGTACTAACACCTTTGGTAGCTTCATGTGTTCTTGCAACGAGGGATTTGTCTTGGATGACACGAAAACCAGCTGCATAGGTAGTCTACCAAATTTTGTATTCTTTTAAGAATTAAGTAATACAATTTTGCACATTTCTACAGATATCAACGAATGTGCCTTGCATCCGCAAATATGCGGAGTAGGTTACTGCATCAACGACCAGGGGAAGTACCACTGCGAATGTCCGGAAGGATATATGGCAATGCCAGGAGGAAGTAAGCTAACCTAACACCATTCGCGTTGTTATACTCTTAATTATCTGTTGCGTTGTGTTATTTCTTCAGAGGAATGTGTCGATATGAGAAAGGAATCCTGCTACCTGAATTACGAAACGGGTCAGTGTTTCAACCCTATGACGCAGCCACAAACGAAAATGCTGTGCTGCTGCTCCATGGGAGCCGCATGGGGAAGTCCTTGTGAGAAATGTCCAGCTGAGAGGACCCGTGAGTATGGGATTTTTGCGGGAATTAAGAGAACATAATTTATATTACGACGAAATACTTTGCTCAGGTGAACACGAGATCCTGTGTGGCATGGTACCCGGCGCAATAATGAATCCCATAACGAATCACACGGAAGAAATCGACGAGTGCGCCCTGATGCCAACGATGTGCACTCATGGTCGTTGCATGAATACTCCTGGTAGCTTCGAGTGCCAGTGTGATCGAGGATACGTGTATGACGAGGATTCGCATCAGTGCATCGACGAGAACGAGTGCCTACAGGTAAGAAGAGGCGTAATAGAATTGCCCAGATATGCTACATCCTTGGATACTAAGTTTAAGCAACTGAAAGCCTAAACTTCATTCTGTTTCCATCCAAGGTTCCAAATCCTTGCAGTGGCAATGCACAGTGCATAAACAAGCAGGGTTACTTCGAATGCGTGTGCCCAGCGGGGTACAAACTAGGTCTCAGACAACGAGACTGCGTCGACATCGACGAGTGCTACGAACGATCCGGAATTTGCAACAATGGCGCCTGCAACAACCTGCAAGGCAGCTTCCAGTGCGTCTGCCATTCTGGCTTCGCCTTGACTCGAGACAGAGACAACTGCGTGGACACCGACGAATGCCAACGTAATCCGAACATTTGCAACAACGGAACCTGCGTGAACACGCTGGGATCATACAAGTGCATCTGCTACCAAGGATTCAAGCTCAGTCCCAACAACGACTGCGCTGGTAAATTTTCTTTCTATCAGTGGAATCCTGTCGATGTTAATCGAGAATTGAAATATACAAAAATCTTGAGACAGATATCGACGAGTGCCGAATCATGCCGTTCCTCTGTCGCAATGGAAGGTGTCGAAACACGATTGGAGCTTTCAACTGCGAATGTGCCGATGGCTACGTCTTGGCTCAAGATGGCCAGCATTGCAGAGACATCGACGAGTGTCACGAGGTAAATTGTTGATAACGGAAAAACTTGGAAGAAGGCTATCAAGACCGTTGTACTGTAAATAATTGGTTTAGGTTCCTGGACTCTGTCCATCGCCAGGCAAGTGTCAAAACTTAATGGGATCGTACATATGCAATTGTCCTCCTGGCTACGAGTTGGATCACACGAAGAAGTGCGTGGGTGAGTAAAATACTCGACAAGTTAAATCCAACGAAGAAATTCGAACGCGATAATTGCAATGGAAATTTATGTCAGACGTGGACGAATGCGTGGAGACTGAAGGAATCTGCGAGAATGGCCGCTGCATCAACACTGAAGGAGGGGTTATCTGCGAGTGTCCTGTCGGATACAGGTTAAGCGACAAGCCAAATTCGATGAGGTGCATCGATGTTAGAGAAGAGTTTTGTTACGATCGGTATTTAGTACAATTGGGAGGGCGGTGTTCCCTTCCACGAACTGGGAGCATGACGAAGAAGCACTGCTGTTGCACTATGGGGAAAGCATGGGGGAAATACTGCGAACCGTGTCCTCCAGAAGATAGCGGTAGTCATTTGTTTAACTATAAATAGCCTTTAAAAATCGACATCGAATAACAAAGTTTCTATCTCGTATTCCTTATCCAGAGGAGTTCAGAAGACTATGTCCCGAGGGACCAGGAAGAGACGACACGGGGATCGACTTGAACGAGTGTCTCTTCATGCCAGACGCCTGTGCAGGCGGCGAGTGCATAAACACCGATGGATCCTTCCGATGCGAGTGTCCCACTGGATACGTGCTGGACGCGAGTGGCAGACGTTGTGTGGATAACAACGAATGCCTGTCCCAGCAGAACATATGCGGCAATGGGACCTGCACGAACATCGACGGTGGTTTCGAGTGCTCCTGCAACGATGGATTCACCCCTGGTGTGAACCAGATCTGCGAGGACGTGAACGAGTGCCTGGAACTTGGCAACCAGTGCGCTTTCAGATGCCATAATGCACCTGGCTCCTTCAGATGCATTTGTCCTTACGGTTATACCTTGGCCCCGGATGGACGACATTGCATAGGTGGATTAACTATTTCATTTTCGCGACAATTCTAATAATTATGGTGTTATATTATTTATATGTACTGTGTTCAGACGTGGACGAGTGCGCCACACCAGCGAACAACTGCAAGTACCAGTGCAAGAACCTCATCGGATCCTTCATGTGCATCTGTCCACCCGGCTACCAACAAATCGGCATGACAGACGAGTGCAAGGACATCGACGAGTGCGCGATCAATTCCGGTCTGTGTCGAAATGGCCGATGCGTGAATCTGGAGGGTAGTTACCAGTGTCTTTGCTACGACGGCTTCGAACGGAGTCTGGATGGAAAATCGTGCATAGGTATTAAGAAACAGAGAAAGAAGAATCGAACTGAGACTAAGCTAGGGTATTTTTCCAGATCGTAGAATGGGTTACTGTTTCTTGCAAACGATCGGTGGCAGATGCACCGCGAGGACCTCTGACCTGAAGACAGTGACGAAAGCAGACTGCTGTTGCACAATGGGTGCAGCCTGGGGCCCACACTGCGAGATCTGCCCATCGAAAGACTCTGACAACTACAACGAGCTCTGTTTGGACAAAGGCTTCTCCGTGGATGGTCAAGGTATTTAGCTCGTTTCCTTAATAGACCAGTTATAATTAAAATGGCGCGAAATTCGAACCCTAAATTTCTTTCAGATATCGACGAGTGCAGAACGATCCCTGACTTGTGCAAAAATGGACTGTGCATCAATACACTTGGTTCTTACAGATGCGTCTGTAATAAGGGCTACAAACCTGATAAATCTGGAAGTCAGTGCGTTGGTAAGCACTTGGAAGTTTAGCCATGATCGATAACTATCTATGCATGCGATCGATGTTATCGAATGTATTAAATTCGTGGACTATGAGCTATTCAATTTCAGACATAAACGAATGCGAGCTGACGCCAAGACCGTGCAAGTATAATTGCCAGAACACGGAAGGAGGTTTCATCTGTTCCTGTCCTGCCGGTTTCATCTTGAACCCCGACGGTGTCAGTTGCAGAGATTTGGACGAATGCTCGACCGGAAATCATCTGTGCCAGCAAAACTGCATCAACACTCAAGGAAGCTACACTTGTGGCTGTCAAGAGGGCTATACTCAGGATGGAGACGCTTGTCACGGTTCGCACGACGAGGAACACCCTTTGATCTAGTTCTCATCGGGAATCTATTGAATTTCATATTTTTCTAGACATAAACGAGTGCGACCAGGCTGGAACCTGCCCCAAACCGGGTACCTGCATCAACACTCTTGGCAGTTTCCGGTGTATCTGTCCGAGGGGATTCAAGATCGATCAATCTGGCAGATTCTGCGTGGATCAGAACGAGTGCGCTGACGATAGCACTTGCGAACACGGTTGTCAGGTAAATTAAACAGGAAGATCATTTTTACTGATCAGCTGCTACAATTGGTAAATTTTTATCGACTCGTCGAATTTTTAGAACTTTATGGGAAGCTACCGTTGCGGGTGTCCAGAAGGATTCGTCCAGCATCTCTATTACAACCAATGCATCGACGAGAACGAATGTAACACGTCACCGTGTGGAGACAACACCTGCATCAATACGATTGGTGGTTACAAATGTGGTTGTCCCGATGGGTACCAATTTGACACCAACTTGCAAATTTGCGTTCAGGTGATTCTTTTTAGTCCCGTTCCAATCACGAAAATCTCATCATGAAAATTGTAAAGGTTAAGAAAAACAATTGACGATTGATTTAGGTGAGTGCTGGGTGCATTGGAAGTCCTTGCGCCTTTGGGTGCACCCCTAACGGAGTGAACGGGTTCATCTGTGGATGTCCCACTGGATATCAGCGAATTGGACAGGTTCGTCGTTGCAATTATTTTTCGCTATCTTAAAGAAGATAAATTGCAGCAAAAATTTAATATTTATAATTTCAACGATCAGGGTCACTGTCTGTCAACGATAAATCCTCTATCGCAAGGACACTATGGCGAGGATATCAGCAATGCACCGACTTTTGTGATAAATCCTGACCCCTATCACATACCACCTGCGGATGACAAGACTATATCGACGGAAGGTTGCTTCTCCTGCAAGGTATCTTAAAAGTCTCGCCATCTCTCGAAACATTTCATTCCGATAACTCGAACGAATGAATTAAAATCGCTATATTATGCCAACAGGTTAACGGGAAATCAAGGCACAGAAGAGACGTACGATTGAAATCGATGGACAAACAGATGAGCGCGCGAAGAAAGGAAATTGCGAAGAAACGTATAGCGAGATCAGCGAAGAGACACCATCATGGCGAGGAACATGTTCTTAAGATCAGCTTGAGACAGACCAGGCACAGAATGAGAATCATCAAACTGCAACCTGCTGTCAAGGTACAAACGACATTATGCACGCTAAAAAGAATTATTTCAGCCGAGTTTACCTACAACTTCTTTTCGACTATTCGCAGGACGCAGACATCGAATACACGATAGTGAAAGGAAACAACGAGAAACACTTCGAGGTGGTGGACGATCACGGAATTTCGGCGTTACACTTCCGCAGTCGACTAAAGGAACCCGGCCAGTTCCGGCTGGTGATCCATGGACGCCCGAGGAACGGTATCAGCGAGGAGAACGAGGTCTGGGAAAGGCCTCTCACGTTCAGGGTACACTTGATAGTGACCGAGTAATTCTTATGGGAACGATGTGCTCGATGTTTCGGTTCTTTTAGTCAATTTTTACGTTGCCACGCAGAACACCGAAACGAAAGCGATCAGAGGGGAAACGAGAGGTTGCCGGGCTGAGTATTATACAGGCACGATTCCATTTTCGAATTAGACGCTTTGAAACATTGTGTTCATTCGCAGCCTGACTCGCGTCGTCTCACTGCCAAATAATTATTCTTCTCTTTTACCTTTTACGTTGCTATGTAAAATGATTCTCTAACACTGCCTCTGCTTTACTCGTTTTACATATTTTTCTCGACTTTTCTCTCTTCACTCTTATGATAGATAGGTCTCTTGGAACGTTTGAGATTTAACGATCGAGATAAACGAAATGTTCGTGGCACGAGAATATTTTATAAGGAATGTTAAGAAGAACTGGTTAACCAAAAATGAGAAAAAGGAAAGAAGAAAAGGCACACTTGGAAAGACGAAACTGCCCTCGGAGAGTTCCAACTGGCCGCAGTAACATGTCACACGTAGAAATAACACTCTAGGGATGTACAAAAGGAAATGAACGTTTCTATTAAACCTAAGTAAATGAAGTAAATGTATACATACACAGACATAGCTTTATATATTTATAAACGTTTATAGTCTACTAGCAGGTAACGAAACGGATCGGTACGAACTGATCGACAACGGATTAGCTCAGTCGAGACTTCGAGATACCTCGAGATAATTTCACATCGCGATTCTCGACGCGCGTCCATGTTTCTCTCGCACCGTAGCACCAAGTGCCTTCAGGACAATTAAAAGAGAATTACATAAGGAAAGTAACGTTAATCGACCCGATAATATGTACAATTTAATTAACGGCGATCCCAGTGTAGCCTTAGTTGCGTCATTAAGCGGCGAATACGAGTGATCGTCCTTACGATAGATATGTGAATAGAGACTATGATGGATAATTTTGTACAATCGGCCTGAATACGAGGATTATTCAAGTCGAGATGGTTCGCAAATATATGTATTATAAATCTATCGAATCTTCGTCGATGAACAAACCTTCTGACAGTACTCGGATCGGCTAGTCCACGTCTTTTGACAGCAAACCGAACTTGTACGCCATATCGTGCACGTAAACTTGACCAGGATACAGTATACAGGATGGAAAATTACTGATATTCACGGCATCGGGGTAGTTTTGTGGTGACAGAAGAAATCCACCGTGTCTTTCGTATCGCACGCCATCTTTTCCCCAAATTTCCTTTGACACGTCATCTATTCCCGACGCCTGTAACCGATTACGCGGGAAATTTCAAAGTTTCGCGAGCTTTGAAGGGAGTTTTAATCAAACGTGAATTTTCTAACTTGATCCAAAGGGTAGTAATCTTCGAAATCGGGTGGATAATCGCGATCGGGGTCTGGCAAATCGTTTCCGGTGGAAAACTGGAGACCTGGGTGATTCGAATATACCTCCAAAGTTCTTCCAGAACCAGGGTGGATGATTCTTCGAAGAAAAAGAGCAAAATGGAGAAACTCGTGTTAAGGAGATATGCCACGCTATTGAATTTTTCGCAATGACGAATTTAAAGATGCAAATTTCGAAATTAAGAATTAATTATTCTTTGTCAAAGCTGAAATTGTAATTCGTTTTTATATCACGCGTAAACGAGAAATCTCGCGATTAAATTATTAATTAATTTCCCTCCGCTTACCCTCGATTTGCGTGCACTTACCTAGCGTGGAAACGATAAGACCAACTGCTGGGGCTGGTTATGCAGAGGTTCTGGTTGTAACCACCCCCTGGTACGATGTAAAGGCGTCTCTTGGTTAACTGAGTCGGTAAACGTAGATCGAACACTGTACGGTCAACCGGATATATAGCACCTGTCGGCAAATCGTCCTTAATATCCGCGATGGTCCAGCTACCTGCGTTCAACGAGATTACGTGCTTCTTCAACTCCTTTGCACCGGTAGCCTGTAACAAAAATGCGAAAGAATTAGTTTAATCAGAAATTGCCACATAATTATCACCGAATCTTCCACGATCTTTTATTCCACCATGAATTGGGATCGAATAAAAGATTAAAAGACAGAATCTTGCAGGAAGAAAATAAAATAATGCATAAATAATACAAAAGGTTGGAAAAATGTCAGACAAATGTGCAATTTTACATGGCCAGCTAGATTCATCGAGCAATTAGTCGTAATGTTGACTGGAGTTGGTTCAGTGGCAGTAGCACGGATATTGATGAGCAGCTGATTATCGTTCTTCCAGGAAAACTTAATCTGAGTTAGCATGTTTCCTGGATATCCTTCGCTGCCCGCAGGACTCAAGTGAGACATCACCTGTTCCAGTAAAATGCACGAATAAAAATTGAGAAACGAGGGTGGGGAGGTTTTCCAGCACCACGTTGTCCTTCGACATGTACGATTCCCAATTCACGTTGTCGAATGCCACGAAGCCTCCGTTAAAATGGCTGACGCCATCCCTGTCGTTGGTGGACAAGGAGTAATTCTTATTTTCGATCCTCATCTTGGCTGACGAGATGCGATTCACCACTCGACCGATTACGCTTCCTATGTACCTGTTCTTCGAATAACCTGGTTACATTTTCACGGGCGTTACCAATCCTCTAAAGCAACGATCCAGGTGTCTGCTCCTTCCCGACACTCTAAGAAATTATTCGGAATTTTCTTTTACCCTCCATATCGTCGAATCCCAAAACAACGTCACCCAAAATCCCCGACAGATTGGGCACTTTGACGGCTTGAATACCGGCGCCCCAAGATATCAATTGCACCGACGCTTTGTGCCTGTTCGTCATTGTGTATCTGATGGCACGGATGATGGATGTAGGATAAAGCAGGAAAAACAGGAAACGTCGAACGACGCGTGCAATTTACCTCTTAACAATCTCGAATGGTTTATTATGTTTATAACGATCCGGCCTGGGAACGAACCCAAAACCATCTTCCTCGATGAAGCTTTCCGCTCTGGACATGATGCAACGTGAACGCGAATTTACCCCGTTTTTCCAAACGATTTAATCCTCCACGGTCAATTTAGCCCGCTTGCATCTCCACTTTTTCATTTTCCCGGCTAAAACGCCATTCACCCGGCCAGTTTTCACGAACAATTTTGACCGTCGATCACCCGACTAGGTTACCGGCCAAAATACCTGTTCGAAAGAGCAGCAACTTCGCGTGGAAGAGAAAAAAGAAAGCGCACTTCGCGCGTATACGCGGCGCGGTGTCGTTGTCGGAAGAGAAATCCGCGATTCTTTTCTCGCGAAAGCATTTTCAAATATCTCGACATTGGAGAAGAAAGAAGAAGTTGGGGAATTCGTAAACGGAAAACACCATACCGTTCGCGATTCGCGCACTGGCGAAGAAACGAGTCTCGTGTACGAGGAACACCGCGACAAAGTGTCATCAATTCGACGGAAGAATTCACGCGATTTTCACGCGGCGTGAACGCGAGAGAATCAAGAAAGCAACAGACCGCGAGGAAAACCCATTACGCGAAATCAGGGTATTATCGTGGTTGCAAGCGAGCGACACAAATCCGACAAGCGCGTCTCGTTTTAACGCTTCGTCACCGCTCTGACGAGTCATCCATCCCCTAGTTGTCAGCGACGGTGCGAAGCGCGTAAGCGTGCAGCGGCGTAAGGGAGACAGAGCGGCGAGCTCTGAGGAAAGGCGAGAGCCGGCAGAGGGGGTTGGAAGGTGTAGAAGAAGGAAAATGGAGAGCCGCGAAGGCATTCGCATCCCCGGAGGACGCGGATTCTTTCTCGGTGCAGCAGCCGGGCTGATCAGTCTCGATTCCCGCGAAGCGTTTCGAGGCTGTCGGAACACTCGCTGGAAATAATTACATTAATGGCGTCGGGCCGGGAGAAAGCTGTTGGATACATCGGTAGATGCCCACCCCTCTGGCGTTTGGCTCTTCCTCGAGGAACAGAAAGCAACCCCCACCTACCCCCGCGCTAGTTTCAATGGCGAAACATGGAACTGACGGAATAATGCTCCACCCACGGGCTAAGGTATACCAACGGAGTGCACCCCTACCCTCTCGCACCACCTCGCACCCCGTCGCCCTCCTCTAGCCACGCACTCCCTCACTTTCTTCCTGACAATGCATAATGCCATTCTGCCGCGGTAACGGCAACAATGAGCGCGCACGTCCTGCTGGAAAGTAATTATCTTAATGTCGACGAGCCCAGCGCCGACGAATGGAGAACACTCGCGCGACGGCTGCCTTGTGTGAGGAATCTCTTGGCTTGGTTACTCCGCTTCCTTTGCCCTCCCGTCGTATCAGTCCCTTTCCTTTTGCTTTCCTTCCTTCCTTCCTTCCTTCCTTCCTTCCTTCCTTCCTTCCTTTCATACTTCCTTCGTTCTATCTTCTTTCCTTCCTCCATCTTTCCTTCCACCTTCCTACTTCCTCCTTCCTCCTTCCTCCATCCTCATTCCTTATTCCTCTTTACTCCTTCTATTCGTCCTTCCTTCCTTCCTTCCTTCCTTCCTCCCTTTCCACCGCACTCGCAAGCCCGCTCGCTTCGTTGTTTCGCTCTTGGATGCGGATTGTGCGCGACACAATATCGATGCCGTGAACCGTTCCCGCGATATCGTGACAAATCGCGTCGCAACACGCGGTGGAATTGTCTCGCAGTTGATGAATGCGGGTTGCAAGCGGCCAGGACGCGCTGCCGTGTTCGTTGGTCCCGGTAAGATGGACTTCGATGTCGTCCAGAACGCTTGGACCAAGGGAGAAGTACATATTCTCTGCCATTGAGGTTACATCCCCTAGCTACCTCTTCGATCCTCGACTACACGCGAATCCTCGCGATTCGTACGCTAAATCAGCCATTTCTCGGGGAAAACGCTGCGCGGAGGCAGGGATTTTCGTCGAGCCGAAAAACGAGCGGAAGAAATTGATAAATCGGTCTACTCGAGATACTTAAGAGCGGCCCGATAAATCGATCGTATTAAAATCGCGACGGGGATCGGGGCTGCGAGCTACGCGACAGCGTAGCCCGTAATTCCATTGGTGTGCCTGCAGGCGAGAGATCCTTTGTAATCGACGCGGGGGTGAGGAGTGAGGGCCAGAGAACAGGGAGAAGGGAACGAAAGGATGAAGGAGAAAAGAGAGGGAGGAAAAAAAAAGTGCGTTTTACCGTGACCAGCCGGATCGTATTATTCCCTTCTCTCTTCCAATCTCAATTAGTCATTACGTCTCACGGCGTGGCATAGCTTCGATGCCCTCCTCGAAACTCCCCCGACGTCCGCGGCTGGTTTCTCTGCATTAATTGCGTCTACGTCGGTCTACGCCACCCCCGTGGTTCTCGATTCGTTGTACCCCCACGGCTGGTGCCGGGGGTGTTTCGACAAGGATTAGTGTCGACGCCACGAACCGCATAATTCGCCCCTCTCCACGAGGAAAATCAGATCTGCGGCCGACTAACGCGAGAATCGCCCCCTCCAAGACGTTGTTTACGTAGTAAAATCCAACGTCGCTTTGTAATGATTCCCGAGTCTAGCGTTATGCTCGATAATTGATCGTTACGAGCCGTTTGTACGAGAGGCTTCCTCCAAGTAGCTACGAGACGCCGCGTTAATTCCGATTGGGGTTGTCGACGACCGAATCTCCAATTCGCCAGGTCTCCTGGTAGTATACAGCAGCGCGAGCGCATTTGCTCGAATACTATTTTCCCCAAATGTTTCTATTCCGCGCCAAGATAATTCACTTATGCGTTACACGCGATTACCGGATTCCATAGATATACCGAAACATTTACGCGTATTTATCGGTGAATTTTTCGCTCTTTCCACACATCGAGATACAGACGCCAGGAAAGTTTCGACGCCATAACGATGGTCGATTTCTACTATTCTAAAGTTTAGTTTAGCCGAGCGAATAACAAAGGCGAAAGAAGGATCGTTGATAACCACGACATCGTCTTACACGAAGAACCACCCTGTAGATCGCACGTGTGCTCACGCACGCGGTGCGGGCTTCAGCCGGTCGCCAGTTACTCGAACGCGTTCTCGGGGGGTGCCCCAATCCCGATGCACGGTAACGGTGCGCCCACTTCACCCTCGCCATCCAAGCCGCCCAACAACCCCCTCACCCACCCACAAAACCGGAGAGGCAGTCGCTAATTACGCAACGCGTTCGAGCGTGTACGTCGGGGTGGCGACGTGGCACCGTCATGGGCCCGTGTATCCCTCGTCCTCCCTCGTCGCCAACCTTCCTTCCTTCCTTCCCGCCCCTGCGCGCCACCCCACTCTGTCTTGTTCCCTCTTACCAGTCGCTTTCTGGTACTTTTACGATTGCCTATAATCACCCAAAGTACGCTGCGATTACGTTCCGTTCTACCCCACCTGCTTCAGGACCAACCCCTCTCTCCCGTCCCCGGGCCCACCCTCCGCCCTTCGATTCCCCCTTCACGGTGACGAGGTTGCCTCTAACAGCTCGGCCGCGTCGAGCAGTCGACTTAATTTGCAGGATCAACGTTGAAACGTCGCGCGAATAATCCGGCGCATCCGAATTACACGCTCGGCGTGCTGTCTGGATACGACGAGCACCTGCGGATTTAACAGAGGCGGAGGACGATTACTAATTAGCCGGGATTTTGCTACCCGATTGCGACCCACCAGTCGTTTCGTCCGCGTGATCTCTCGTAAGGAGGAGGGTGGTTGATAGACGTTTGAATTCGATTTGCGGGGGAAAGCGAATCCTTGGCGATGACTTTAACCTGTCTGACGACGGGTGGATGGGAAAACAAGGGAAGGAGAAGAAGGTTAAAGAAAATGGAACGAGAGAGAATATAAAGCGACGGAATTAATCGAACGGGTACCGTTCGAGAGTTACGTTTACGTAATTTCGAGGTAAGAAGTTTGAACGTAGAACTTGCAAGATTCTACTCAGAGGTCTTCCAATATATACTTGACATAGTTTGTCAAAGTTCGACGTCGCGATTACTGGATCGTTACGTAGTAAACTAATTGCACCGGCCGCGCATAGCGCGGTCCAACCTGGTTCGATTAATCAATTTCGCGCGTCCGACCGGTAATTCGAACCCTAATTAATCGATCGTCGAATTGAATCGTCGACTTGGAAGGTGCTCGCGTACACGTACACGTGCAGCAGGAGCGCGTTGAAAGACAGCGCTGGCGTAACTGTTTCGGTTCATCTCGCTATTCGCCGTAGCTGCTCCAGTGACGCAGAAATCGCGGGCAAAGGAGGACGAAAGCTCGATGGAAGAAAGGATGAAAAGAAGGAATATATAAACCTGCAGCGAGCGTGGCGAAACGCATTCGCGAGCTTGCACTCTCGAAATCGTAATCTCCGGTGAGACAAAGCCGGCTATTGTGAGGACCCCGCGATTCTCACGGCACTTCCATTCGGATCGACCTTGGCAATAGCTCGATAGAGCACAAAACCATCGACACAGAGTCCCCGGACGTATGTATCTCGGACTCATTCGAAATTCACAGGATCCGGATGAACGAGAGGCAGCGCGGCTTTTCTAACCGCGGATTATCCAGAAGGAAGAGAGAAAGACGGAGGCGAGGGCTGCGAAAAGATTTAGTCGCCTAATGGGAATCGTTAAACGAGGACAACGGGTTTTCATACGCGCACGGCCGAAGATATGCGGCTTGCTGGAATGGTCGAAGGTGGAAGGATGACGCAAAGCGGTGAAAAGAGAGGGTGAGGCAGTTGGGCTGTATCGGGGGGTGGCGGTGGAAGAAGGGCGGAGGAAGGGGACTATACTTAAATTACCTAGGAAGCATCGCCGGCATTCATACGTGGGATAAGCATTGTCATCCCGGGGGATTGTCTCATAGACACCTCACTGGCACATGCTTTATGTCGTAGAGGGTAGCGGAGAACCGGTGCAGAGGGGTGGTTCGACGAAGGTGGGGGTGGCAGTCGAACCTTTATTAGGTAGATAACCGAGATGCGAGCTGCGTTATATAGATGCCCATCCACGCTGAGCTGCCTCGTTTTATTCACTTGAATGCTTAATGGAATTGAGTTCTTGTAAGCGCTCTCAGCCCTCCGCCACCCCCGCCGCTAGTCACCTCGCCCACCACCCAGCCCGTTGCACCCCTCGAGGCCGGCGGAGGGAATCGAAGGGGCAGGCAGAGGCGGAGGACATGAGATAATTGGTATTTTGTCTCGCCAAATCCTTTGTATCTCGAGTTTTAATTGACTTCGAGATTTTTCAATACCAATTTGCACCCAACTGCATACGGAAGGGCTGCCGTGTGTTGGTGGCCCGGCCGACTTGTGTGCGTCTGCGGGGGACGTGCACGTATTTCCCAGGATCCGTACCGACGGAATGGCGACCATCCGTCGACGGATTTTTTCCTACCCGGCAAGAGAGTCCGGCTCCTCTTTTTCCTCTTTTTCGCGCTTTAATCGCTTCCTCCCTCTGTTTACCGTTCTCTTATTGGCACTACGTCATCCTCCCGTTCCCGGTGCTACGGCGAGCGCCATCGACGATTTTTTAAATAGCAGCAGATTTTGATAGCAGTTTTATTCGCCAGGTTCTCGCTATTATGCAACGGGACAATGCAGACGCAGCAATACCCTCCACGGCCGTGCGAATAAATTCCGAAAATTCTTTAAAATAATATTTCCGAAAAATCGATTCACCCGGAGCCTCCGCGACGCGTGCAAATTATACGCGGGAAAGAGGAATATTATCCCTTTGGATCTCTTCGCGAGGACGAATGCTGATCGCTGATACGGCGCGAGTCGCGGCGAAATGACGCCGCTCGGTCGACCGCAGCTTCGTTCCAAAATGCGGAGGAAGCTTAATCGATTATTCGAAAATCGAAGTAAGGAGACACCGCGGCGAAGCGTACGCGCCTCCGCGACACAAAAGCACAAACGACTAATGCAGTTCACCGACAGAGGGAGGCTCGGCGAGCGAGAGAGAGAGAGAGAGAGAGAGAGAGCGCGCGCGAGCAGGCTCATATTCGTTCGCATTGCTGAATGTCCTTTGGGAGCGGAGGGCGCGGTGAGTCGAGATTGGGAAAGGGGCACCGCTCGCTCCTTTCGCCGCTGTTGCTTTCCATTCTAATCCAAGTGCCTGTCGTCGAGAGATTTTTTCCATTGTTCCACAGATTTCCCACAGGAAAGGAACCGGCAGATTTCAGCCCCTCATTGTTTCAACGGGGCGAAAGAAGGACGCCAACACGCGAATTCTGATTAATTACTCGACAAAACGACCCCGGATTAGTCGACCAACGAGCAAACGGTGTTAATCATCCTCCTTGGTAATCGTGTCGGATCATCGCGTTCGTAACGCGATAAGTTTCGTTCGATAGGGTCGGAAGACAAGCCACGACTACGGAGGGTGGGCGAAGGGGGCGCTTCGAGTCCCGATTACGAGAGATAATAGCGCTCCGAAATATTTCGCCGCTACGAGACACGAAACAACGAGAATTTCGGATATTCGCTACGCGAAAATGAAAATTTTTCGAATACAATACCCCGTGTATCTCTGGAAATAATTCAGCCGAAACTGCTCGCTCGAAAAATAAAAAATCGTTACACCCCTGTTACCGCGCCAAACGTTACGTACCTACGAACCGCCATTTATGGAAAATATAGAAATCCGAAATCTCGAATGATTGGAAGAAGCAGAAGAGGAATAGAAGAAAAGAAAGGATCGCTCTCGACGAGGTTCTAATCGAGGGAAAAATCGTAGAATTTCGGTCGATACTCGCTTGTTTCGGGGTCAGAGGAAGAATACGCGATGGTGGAAGCAAAGGACCTAATCCACTCGAAAGTCCTCGAGCTCGTTGACCAAGAATCCTCCGCGTCGTCGTGACGGCGGTCCAACAGGGGTGAACGGGGGTGGGAGCAAGCATAACCAATTATCGCGCGATATCGCGTCGCCGTTGGCGTGCAAAGCAGTACACGAACAGAGGTAGTCAATAACGGGCAGCCTATACGCTATTTGTACTTCATCGTATCGAGGTAATCGATAATAATAATTGCAGCTCGCGGTCTCCGAGGCAGCAGCAGCCAGCAGCCAGCAGCCAGCAGCAGCAGCGGCAGCAGCAGCAGCAGCAGCAGCCCTCCTCGGTTCAGCTACGGCACAGAGGGGTTGCTGCTGTTTCTGGTCGCTGTGCTGGTGTCGCTCAGTGGGGAGAAAGGGTAGAAAAGGTACGCGTGCACCGAAGCAACCTCGACGAATAGCGTGAAGAGGGTCGGTACGTGGGCGCGGCGTACGACGCAAGGCAAACAGAGACAGCCATAGGGGGAAAGAGAGAGAGAGAGGAAGAATGGATCCCTCCGGCAGGTCGTGGACCGGTCCTACGGGCAGTCCACGCTCAGTCGACACCGGCACTCCATTCGAGCACGTTCGACTGTTTGCCGCGTTCACTTGCGCCTAGGCGACACCTCGTTTCCGTCACTCGTGCACGTCCTTTTTAATTTCATCGCTCGCCCGAATCCGACAGAGTGGTCCTCGTCGTTCCGACGGAAGGAAGACGGGCAAGACGTGGATCGGCGGATGAACGCGAGAACGAGGACTGTCATCGAGCGCGCGATCATCGTCCGCTCGCGAGTGTGTGAAGTTTAACGAAAACGAGGAAGCTCGAACGGGGCGGCAGCTCGGAGGCAACGGGATCGAACGATCCGCGAAACTTGGATCGCGATTCGTCGACATCCACGACAACGAGGTGACCATGATGAGCTCTCACCAACAACACCCCGGCTACGGGTTCCTCTCCGGCATGGACCTGCACTCGGTGCACCACGTGAGTCAGGATATGAACGTGGGCAATCAACAGACACCGTCGTCGCAGGAGCAACACATTAAGAGGCCTATGAACGCGTTTATGGTGTGGTCTCGGATTCAACGAAAGAAGATCGCATTAGACAACCCCAAGATGCACAATTCCGAGATCTCGAAGAGACTCGGCGCCGAGTGGAAGCTGCTGTCCGACACGGAGAAGAGACCCTTCATCGACGAGGCGAAACGTCTGCGCGCCATGCACATGAAGGAACATCCGGACTACAAGTATCGTCCACGAAGAAAGCCGAAGGTGCCGGTGTCCGTGGTGCCGGGCAAGGCGGGTTCCATGAGCCCAGGTGGCTTCCCCAGCTTCCCTCTGCCGCCATACTTCGCTGCACCTGCTGCACCGGTCTCCCATCATCATCATCATCCGCACCCCCTCGACTATCCACCTCTGCCGCCGTATTTCGGCTCCGCCTTCGACGCCGTCCACCTGAGCAAGCTGGTGGCCGGTAGCAGCGGCACCGGGTCCACGTCGTCGAGCGCTGCTGCGGCTGCGGCCGCGGCTGCAGCCGATGCGGCCAACAACAACGCTGCATCCGCCGCAGCGGTAGTGAGCAGCTTCTACTCCGGCTTCTACTCCTCGCCGACGACAGCAGGTAAGCCGTATCACACGACGGCGTCTCATCTTGGGCCACTGTTTCCAACCGGACATCACACGGTGGCCGCGACAGCGCCACATCCGCCGCTCATGTTCTCATCCTCGTCGACGACCGGCTCCGGGAGCATCGTCACGACCACCAGCAGTCCTGGAAGCAGTCCGGGGTCCACGCCGATACCGTCGTCTCATCAGCAAGTCTCTACGCCTACCACGTCGACCACGCTGGACCTGGAGCAGCTACGCCGGCCAGTCTCCGTGATATTCTAGATCCGTAGATCCGTCTGTTAGGATTCGGAGGAACGTTCGTTCGGGTTTGTTCGTGGAACGAGAAAGATCGCCGCGGTGAACGAGGAAGAGGCAAGATGGAGGAGAGAAGAAACGAAGCTTGGGGGAAAGCGGGTTCTCGTTTCCATCGATGCAAGGGGACATCGAGACAGACGTCCCGACGACGCGACCGCGCAGATTTAGTTTTTAAAAATCGTGTATCGTCGTATCGTGACCACTATACGCACGCATGTATGTTGTCGCGCGGGAAAACCGACGACGTGTATTTATACCGGCGGCGCGCTCGAGAGTCGACGAAGATCAGCGCCGGATCCGGCACCGGGGCACATCCGTGGCAATTTTTCTTCCCATTCCAATTTCTTTTTTTTTTTTTTCTTTTTCTGTTTTTCCTTTTTCTCGTCGATGAATTTGGTTCATCGATCCTCCGCAGAGTGGGCGGAGAACCGGGAGGCGAGATTCTCAAGGTCGATCGAGGATCGACCGGGGTTCGGGAAAGGCTTGCCGGCAACCACGCGGATAATTGAATTAGCATATTAATGCGCTGGAACAAAAGAGCCGTTTAGGCCCCGGATTCGTTTTGCTTTATTCAATGGGCTTCATTGTAAGCCGTGGTGCCCCATGAATAGACCATCCCCTCCCCCCAGGAGGTGGACCGTATTGTTTTCGAATAATGTTTTCTAATTGCGGATGTGTCTTTTACCTGTCGCTCGATCATCGAAATCGGATGGATCCCTGCCACGGACGAAAATCGAGGATAGAAACGTTCGCGAACACCCGCGGCGAGCTCGAGATCACTTCTTCGCCACCTTTCCCCGGGCCTGGCCTTACGATCCATTGTTCTACTCCTTCGATTTCGAACAGGCCTTCTCGACTCACCTACTCTCTCGCACACGTCTCCCCGGACGCGGCCTGTCCGTCTGGCAGGGCCCCGATGCTTTACGCGCCATTGCCGTTCTTGCCTCTCGAGCGTCGTTACCGTTCGTTTTAATATATCGTTTCTACGAATGTAAATAGTCCGTATAATACACGATTCGCGTAGGATTAAGGAACGAGCCGAAACGGCATCGTTCGCATCGTGGTTTTAGAAAATAGTATTTCGTGGGACGGCACGTCCTGTATCCGTCAGATCTTGTTTCGCTCGCGCGCATTAGCTGCCCACCTGCATGGGCGACGCGGCTTCCCGCCCGTTCTCGAGGAACGTCCGGATCCGAAACTTAGAAACTCTTCTGTATAAACGTGTGTATAGGTAAGAACCGTGGAGATGAGAGTTCTCAACGTGGACAACGCAACAGCGAGATCTGCGGACAGTTCGTTCTAAGCGAACGACCACGCATGGTATTTCGTCCAGGACGAGGATCCACGCATGTAGCGGATCGTACGAGTTCGCCAGGAAGCCTTCAGGCAAGCCTTCAAGAAGCCATCGAAGGACGATTCTCGCGGTCAATTGGCTAATCGTCGACGGAATCGAACGATTTGCGCTCTCGTACGATTTAGCCTGTCCCTGGAGTAGAGTCTCCAACGAAACGAGAAACGGGAAACGATTCGGGGTAATCGTTTATCGCCGCGACGAGACATCGCGATAGACGGGTCAAAGTTTCCTCGAAGACGAGATGGAATTATTCCACGAATCGTTTCCCGTTCGAATGTTCGCAGCGCTATTTTACTAAGCTCTTCTCGAAAGCATTTTCGTCACCATGGTCCGTATGTAAATGGACCAGTCGTTAACTGTGATTTCGTTACGTCGTAACAAGCGCGTTCCCGCGGGTACTCGCGTTTCTTGCGAGCACCTCGCGGCGAACGCGACCAATCCACGTGTACGTGTCGTTTTTCCGTAGGTCTAAAAATCGCCTCGTGTACCTCTTGTTGTAACTAACGTCTAGAGCACGCACACGCGCGAAAATTGTTGCACCGTAAATAGGATTATTTATGGGGGGGGGCGATCGTGTCCGACGAATTTATTTTTCCCTCATTATTCTCGTTTTTCCCCTCGTATTTTGTCGCATTTGGTCCGCGACACCCTCCGTTCCGTTTGTTACTAGTTTCGTAGTCCCGTTTACACGCGTGATATGTATATGTGTGTGTGTGTGTGTAATGTTAGGTACACACGTCGCAACGTTGTCCGAACAGTCGCGAAAGACGCTAGTCCATAAGAGCGAGCGCGAAAAATAAAATTGTCGACGCGATCGGTAAGCGTGTATACGCGTTCGTACGGCGTATACGTGTGTATAGATGTGTTAAATCGGGTCTGTACAATTTGTGTTTCGTTATGAATGAATTGTTATTATTTGTTCGTAGCACGATCGTGTAAAACGCGTCCATCCGACGTGAACGATGTTCGTTGAACGATCGATCGAAATTCACACGAGCGGATTTCATTCTAAAAAGTGGATGTTCGTCGCGATCTAACGGACATAAAGGGAGAGAGAGAGAGAGAGAGAGAGGGGGAGAGAGAGAATATATCATCGATAGCGGCCGACGAAGAGAGTCGACGAAATAAAGGAACAATGTCTCTTATCGTGTATGTGCATATATTTATTATTATCGACGAATCAAAGTAATAAATGACTCTATGAATTTCATTAATCAGCCTCTCACCGTCATTTTCACCTGCAGTCTCAACCCGAATCGAATCGATCGTTATCGCATCCGACGACGAACCCGATCGCTCTTCCTGCGTCGAAGAAGGTGTCTAATTCGTGTCGATAATACCGACGTAACGAAGCGTCGAAGGAACGAATAGTTACGTCTAAAAACTCGGTAACCCGCGTGACGAGTTAACTCGTCGTTTCACAGGTAACAGGTTAAATCTCGACTCGAGCGGTCTAACTACGAGATGAATGTTAGATAGAGCCACGAAGGCTCGGATCACCGTATCGAGCAGATCGAACGAGTGTGTCAGGTATCCGACGAATCCAAAAGCGATCCGGAATCACGATCGAACCGCTGCGAGGGCAACCTTCGAGACGAAGGTTTCGCACGACGAAACGCCAGCTGTGATACAATGGCGGGAGACGGCGAGCGAAATTCGTAACCTCGAATTTCCTTGCGACATCGGAGAAGCCAGGGTGATGGCCATTCAGGGCCACCGCAGCCAGCTCGGGGAGAAGAGAATGAAAATATAAAGCGAGAAGAAAGCGCAGAGACGTCAGGTTCTCGTCAAACGGCACCTCGCGTCGCGCTCCCTTCCCTCTGGCACCTATACACACGTATACATATAATATATAAAAAATTTTTTTCTTCTCTCCACGCTGAATTCGGTCGGTGCATTGAAAAGTCTCGCCCCGAATCGGTGGAAGGTGACCACCCTTTGCTTTTATGGGGCACAACACGAGTCGGTGAGAGCGAAAAGGAGAGGCGACCTCTGCGTCTTCAGCGTCGCCCCAATGGGCATTGCGTTTCGCTATAACTACCCTCTGTTTAGAGGCCAATTGTATTGGCGCGGGGACCTTTTTACTCTTTTCACCCTAAGAAACCCCGCTGGCTCTGTTGGGCTGTTTCCTCGGTAGGGTGCGCACTTTCCTCTCTCCTTTTCTTTCTTTTTCTCGCCGGGTAGGCCCGTGTGTACATTATAGGTACTCTTATGCGTTCTCGCGTACCGATAACGGGGCGCGAACTCCTTTTTCCCCGACGCTTCCGCTTCGACTTCTTGACCGCCCTTTAGTCACGGCTCGCCTTTCAAACGCACAGGCGTTTCGTTCTGCTCCCTGTGTCTTCCGCGTCATGGGAAATTCCAAACAGATCTGCCGACGTTAATTTCCAACGGTAGGTATCTACCTATAATAGACTCCTACGTATATATAATAATCCTTCTCGAGGATCAACGACGAGGAACTGTCATCCCAACAGCTAAGTCATCGTCGAGTACACGAATATCGTATTGGAATTCGAGTGTTTCCAACGAGATTGCAATACTCCTCGAACCACTCGCGACGAAAAACGAATACAACGGGAACTAGCACGAAACAACCCCGAGAGGTCACAGTTGCAGCGCAACTCGAACCCTCGTCGACCGGGATCCGTTGCGAAGCCCACTCGGAGCCGAAAAAGTCAAAAGAAGAAACTGACATAGCCCGGGGCTCGACTCGCGGCGAAACAATCGCGGCGACGATCGAGAGAGTAGGGTGAAAAGAGGCTGAAAAGAGAAGCATTATCGTGGCAAAGTGGGCCGGTCAGGCCTCTTTAACGAGATCATTGTCGATGCTGGCTGGTAGGCAAAAGTGTTTCAACGTACAAGCACTCGATTCCCGCGCCATTGTTTTCGTCGAACGGGTTGAAACAATGTCCACTCCTGGACGAGAGAACAGCGCACTCTTCCGGATGATATAATGCGTCGAACTGTTTTCGCAATGGCGGACCCGCGGTGCTCGACGTCGCTGTCGTAAATGAAAAAGTGGCATCCTCGAGCAGTGGGTATTCGGGATCGAACAGAGCGTCGAAGGGACGAGAAAAGCTTCCTCTGTTGGAGAGGGTGGGACGAGAATTCGTTTCCTCTTGACTCGGTTGCATTATTAAAGCGTCGTTCTTTGTGCCACCTTGTCGCTCCATCTTGAAAGCACTCGATAGTGTTCGCGGACATTTGGTCCGAGCGCAGGCCGTGAAATCGTGCTCGAGGCCTCGTCGGGCCCCGCTGGAATCGCGCATGGCGACATATGCCCACGGGTTACCACGACGATTCCAACGAACCGCGTGGAAGATGAAACCGGGGGATCGTTACGAGTCGGACCGACTCTGGCCTCGTGGCAGGGGATGATTAGTTAATTAAATGCCGTCGAAACGATCACGACCGCGAACCATGGAATCCGTTTCGCGCACAAAGGCGGCACGAAGGACGTTTGCAAGGAAAACCGGAAGCCTCTCCGATGCGGGTGAGGCTGATTGAAAAAGACGATGTCACGTGCTCGCTCCTTCCGCTACCCCTTTTCCACCGCTAATGGATGTATTCAACCTCTCGCCAAGCGCGATGGAACGGAGCAATATTGTGT